AAAACAGGGGAAAAACTTTTTTTTCGACGATAACACTACTTTTGTATTCTAGCCCTTTTAAGACAAAAATGCGAGGTGGCTCGAATTATGTGTCCGGAAGTATATTTACGGTAAACTTCTAATTATTCCTAACGTCAAAAATAAAGTGACAATAATTATTATCTGCACATCGCACACCTCGTCGAAGAATGCCACATGTCGAAATACGTCATTATTATATATGTTCTAGTCCATTATATGGCAATATCAACACAAAGTACTAAAAAAACCGATATCAAAATTTCGTGGAATTACATCTACTTGCCAAGTTTTATTGAAATCGATTACAGGAAAGTGCGCCAAACCGGATTCATCCCTCTAGTTTGCCACCCCTAAAAAGGGACATCTTCAAATTTAAATGGGACCACTACTGAGGTACACTCTATCCAACAAAAAAAGAATCATCAAAATCGGTTCACAAATGCACCGGAGTCTTCGCATAACATACATTACAGTCGAATGAGAACGTCCTCCTTTTTTGAAATCGGTTAATATCGAAGTGACATAGGTCCTCTCAATTTCGTTTACTTTCTCGACAATGTTCACTGGCAAAAAAAATTATGTTGTTACAATTTTTTTCTATGAATTGTATGAAAAACCTTAACCATCAAGTAGCAAATCATTACATGACGTTATTGTTACAATTTTCCCATTGAATAAAAGCATAATCAATAACTCTATATGATAAAAAAAAACACAGTCGAATTGAGAACCGCCTCCTTTTTTGAAGTCGGTTAAAATGTCGTAGTAAAGATTTTCACAGCAAAAACGTTGTAAATGAATGTTCCGTAAGTAAAAATATTCCGTAAATATTTACTCAAACGTGTGTGGAAGAATGGCATAAGGTGCGACGAAAAACAAACTCATAAATATCAATCGAAAACGAAGTAAGCAACATCACAAATCATCACAAATCCTAAAATACAGAGTAGTAAAGAATTTTTTTGTTTTTAAATATCTAGTGACGGGACGAAAAACTCGTGCGCCTGATGGTAAGCTACACGCCTGTCCATAACAGTTACAGTGCAACTTAGAGCTTTAAATCGCAAGTATCTGAGGGGCACTGCCACTAAGTCCGTCACCCTAAGACATAAGTTGACAAGTCGCATGTGCCTGTAATTTCACCAGCACCCATACAGTGCTGAACCGGAACACAGTAATGCTATTACTGGTCGGCAGAAAAAATAGGTAAGGTGGCAGTACTTCTCTTCTCTACTTAACTCTTGCACAAGCTGCTTAAAAAAATTTAAACCTAAATTTTGATTTTTATCGTCGCATATAGGCATAACATGGTATTTGTGATTTATTGTTAATTAGAGAAGTGTAATTGAAATACAATAAATTAGGCAAATAGATAATATTAGTAGTTACACTTCAAATTAGGTCACATAGAACTATGACTAATATTAAGGGGTGGCTAAAAAAATATAAGTCTTTCTTTCACGAGGGGTGCAATTTTTTTTTAAATTTTTTTTTTATTTTATTTATTAAGTGTACCAACACGACGAAATGTACATAGCAGCATAATGCATTTTTTAATCATTTACAGTTTCTGCGCGTTACCCATATACCTATAGTACAGCGTGATTTTTTTAACTGGGACAATTAGGGATATCCGAAACCTTAGGAGATACAGCTAAACGTTAAAGGAGCCAATAGATTTTCGTTTTTGTGACAAGTTTGACACGGTCAATTAAGCGTGATTTATCTATACAAATAAATAATATTTAATGCTGATTGGCTCGGTTTCTTGTAAGGATCATTTTATTGTAGCGGAAAAATAAGTAGGTACAGCAGAAGTAAATCCAATTTATTTTTTTTCATACAATAATCTTGAGTCCCTCCTTACAAGAAACGGAGTCGACCAGCATTTAAAAAATTTAGCAATATTAATAATTTTTTAAGGACAACTCACACTTGGCCAAAAAATTGACTATGTCAAATATTTTATTTTTTTTTCACAAAAAAGGCCTAATAATTCCTAAGACAGTTTACTTGTATCTCCTATGGTTTCGGATTTTCCCATACTGTCCTGTAAAAACTAACACTGTATACTATTATACCTATACTATCACTGTTGCATAATACTTGTTTTTTGAATGCCAGTGTGAAAAAGGTTGCTTCTCAATTCAGAGGTCGAAGGTTCGAAACCCAATGGTGGCATGTATTAAATACCTATTTTATAACATCGTGATAAAACCTGCAGGTCGAAGAAAGTTCACAACTCTTGAATACCCGCATTGAACCAGCAAATTCAAAGTCAAATACAAAAAGTATTTTCTTTCAAAATTTTACCGAAAAAATTAATAAACTGTCTGGGTAACCCAAGAGCCGGCAGCTACCTTGCCCTACGCATTAGCATAGCAATACAAAGGGGAAACGCTGCCAGCATCGTGGGCACCTTGCCGCGGGGACCCAATTTTATTAATGTAATTTAAAAATCCTAGTTTTACTTTCTAGTATTCAAGCTTTTATTGTCTTTTTTACCTTACCTGTGTATTATCTTAATTAAATAAACACAATTACCCTTGAAAACGTCACTTTGATGAAACTCATTCGTAAGTCTGGTGCCCTCAATCGTACGTCTGGTTTCTTTGACCTTTTCATTATCAGTACTTAACTATGTCACTAATTTGTGTCTTAGTGTTTACATTGATTTATTATAAAAATATCACATGGAGCATTTAATAACCAATGTAAATCACAGAATTTAGTCAGTACTTGTCTACGGTAAAGTAGTAGATGGCAACTGCACAGCACTTGGAAATCGCACTGTAAAGCCCATAGTTGTACTATCATGTTCTGGTATTTTATTTCAGGTAAACGCTGTTGCTGTCCGTAAACAGTTTGAACTTCTCTCCCAAGGCGGACAGTGGCTTACAGCCCCAATCAGATTAAGATCCGAGCACAGAATTTGGAAATTAACTTCCATTTTGATGAAGGCATTTAATAGTTCGATCCAAAATTGCATCACGGTGTTGTGTTTGTAAACATAATTATAGTCATTGTGAGTTACGGACATCTGAAATGTTTTTGTTAACGTACAGGCGGGTTTGCTGGTGTGCTTAGAAAAAATTTCTTCTCTTAGACAGAGTGCTACACAACACTGTAATATTATAGGCTGCTATTGCCATAGCTCGCTGTTGCGACTCGTCCATTCTGCATCATTGGATATCAGTAATTAAGTAGTCGTAGGAATACCGTGTGATTTTTTTAACAGTGACAGTATGGGGAAATCTGAACCTCTGTAGGTTAAGGCTGTGAGGTAAAGGAAAACTGTCTTAGGAACCTTAAACTTTTTCCGTAGAAAGACATTAGACCTAGTCAATTTTGTAGTTAAGCTTGACCTGTCCATAAAAATGAATAATATCAATATTGACAATTTTTATGCTTATCGAAGTCGTTTCTTGGAAGCATAACTTAATTGTATCGGAGAAAAAATCGAGACAGTAGAAGTTGTGTATAAAATGTTTTTTCATGCAATAGGAGAATACAATATAGGTAAGTTAATCATAGTCCGAGTACTTAATAGATTAAAATTCAAATCCTCTTCATTTCATAGGTAAACAAATTACACTTGAAATCGTCATATTAATTAAACACTATATATTATTTGTAAGGCAGAGTCCCCTGAGAAAAATGAGCAAGAAACTCTAGGGGTCGTTCTTTTAAATATACAATATAGTCCGAGAATTTAAAAATTGTTCCATTATTGAATTTCATGTCAATGCGTACTATAAACACGAAGCTGAACTATGGAACGCTTTTGGATGCAAAAGTGTTCCATAGTTCAGCTAACGCGTAGTAATAATAGCATGGAGTTCTTAAATCTGTGCAAAAACTTTGGAATGATGATTCACTCCATGCTATTATTACGAACTCTATTAATTAAATTTATAAACAGCATTTCAAATTAGAACCAACATTATTACAACACGTGAACCGCGTCCGTACTTGCATAGGTACAGCAAGTTAGACTTATTGAAGCATTAAGTAGTTCTATTAAGAAACATTTTATTATTACAACAACAACAAAGCATTTTATTAAATTTCGCCGTCATTCATTAGAAAATGTCCCTATTTTTTTCTTCCGATACAACGAAATAATCCTTACAAGAAACTGCGTCGATCAGCATTACATTTTTTTTTTTCAATACTATTCATTTTTAAGGACAACTCAGCCTTGACCAAAAAATTTATTGTGTCAAATTTGTTTTCACAAAAAATACCTAATGCATTTACATACAGTTTCCTTGTATCTGTTATGGTTTCGGATTTCACTATACTGTCCCAGTTCAAAGAATCGCACTGTATATTTGATGTTACAAATTGTTAATAATAATGTTATTTAACTTCTAATTCTAAGTTATGTTAGTGTATGGATTCGTTATGTCCGATTTGTTATGATTGTTATTAAGGTTAGATACAAAACGTCAAATATAACGTCGCCTTAGTGTGAAAGCAGCAGCAGTTACGCGTCTTTTCACACTTTGTTTTTATATATTTTTTTTGTAATGTAAGAGCTCGCGAAGCATTAATTGAAAAATATATATACGGAGACAAGAACTGTAGCATTGGAAAAGGGTAGATATACCTTCAAAAACTACAAATAAACTTTTACACCACACAAGTCATCCTCCTAAAACGTTACATGCGACTCACATATGAGATATTCACTCCAAGACGACGATGACACACACTTCTACTTGAACACTTCATGGTTTCAAAAGAGTCATTCTTATTTTATGAAAAATCGAACGCATTTTAAATTCAAACATACATGTGACAGCGTTCGTTGGTAACGTCACCCCAGCCGCACTTGATCCGGCATCGCAGCTGTCGACGCGATTGCTCCCTCCTTATCTTAGCACGTGAGTTAGAAAGAGACAGAGCTACTTGTTTGTATCTATCCGCCGGACGGTCTGGCGTCGTCGCGAGTCGGGCTCGCGCTCGCCAGTGCGCCATCTGACTGTATCGGGAATCCACGCTGCGTCGCTCTGACAATGTCAGAAAAAAAATTACTAACCGAATTCCTTCTTCTTTACAAAGAATTTCCCTGTCTGTGGGACAACAGACAAGTTTTATATACTAACAAGGAAGCCAGAGACCAAGCATACGAGGTTTTGTTGGAGAAGTACAAACAAATCCAAGAGGATGCCAACATTATGGATGTCAAAAAGAAAATTGAACACATGCGATGTTGCTACAGGAGGGAACACAAAAAAGTAAGCATTGTTCCCATACGACCAATCCTTGTTGGTTAAAATTAACAAACATTACCTTTCTTTACCTAAATCTGAAACTCCATCGTTATTTGCAGGTTTTGTTATCAAGAGCAAATGGGGAAGACGAACATGTACCTTCACTTTGGTACTATGATTTGCTGCAGTTCCTGAATGATGTCTGTAATTTCACACACCTAGAACCGATTTCCAGAGTTAGAAGCTCGGCAGATATCAATGTAAGTAAAAGTTTGCTAAAGCTGTAAATTAATTATTTTACAATGTAAGTTATCGTATCTAGTCGGATAAATTGATTTAGTAGTTCCGTCCGATCGTGGGTATCGTAAGTGTATCGTGCGGTGCTTAATATAGAATATCTAAGCATTAAAATTATTGTATTATATATCCACCAGTATTTGTCCTAAATATGAAATGTGACGTTAACAAATACCTACTTATCTACTCATTGTGCTGATATATCACAAGATTAAAAACATATTTAAAATCGCACACAAATCACTAACACTTACCTACAGTCTGTTATACTTATTTGACAAATAAATAGTGTTAAAAACACGAAAATACTATATTTATTACGTAATTATTGTTTATTGAGGGGTTCGGATTCATATGATGTGAGGATTACCCACATCGTCATAGTTTTGTGACCACATTTATGTGGTCTGTGATTGTGACATATGTATCATTACAGGACTTGAAAGTTGAATACGAAGAATCGGATGCTCCAAGAATAAAGCGGGGTAAAAAGAGAAAAACAAATGTATCTGCAATTTATTTGCCAGAACAACATGATAGCGACGAAGATGACGATCACGATGACAACGACAACATGTTGGACCACGACGATGCGACAACCAATCAAGACGACTTCAATTCGACACACACTACGCTAAGATCTAAACCAAGAGCGGAATCAGAAGCTTTCGGAGCAGCCATTGGATTGCAATTGAAAGACTTAGATCCCATGCAAAAAACAATAGCCGAGAAATTGATTTCGGACGTCATATTTCACGCAAGATTGAACAGATTAACGGTCAATTCCAGCATAATAAGCCCTATGTAAATTTTAATTTCGTGTGTTTTTGTGGGTACATTACAGCTGTATCTACTTAAATAAGTCGTAATAAACAAGCCTTTTTCTTTAAATCTGTCTTTTTTGTGTTTCTAATATTACATAATGATCCAATAAAGCTATATTGAAAGCAAATGAGCACTGATCAGCCGCCGCCTTGTCTTGAACATGTAGGTCAAACAATTCATGTATCGCACGCAGTCAAGGATGACGCAAACTAGACGGATGAGGGGCCGCTGTCAAGGGACCCCTCCCATGCGGGAGCGGCCCCACACGTGCCGTGTCTGATATGGCAACAGCCGCCACCGCCGCCGTCGCGGCCTACGACGCGGTCGCAACCTGCCGCACTGTACGCAGGTTACTAGGCGAGCAGAATTGACTAAGAGCTCTTATCCAGCGAGTAGCAACAATCAACCACTAATCATGAACCACCTCGCCTCTCCGCTAGCAAAAAAATAAGTCATTGCCGAGGGCGATTCTGTACAAAAGAGAGATCAGCTTAAACTGGTAGTTTCGCCCCAGTATTACTTTACGGTAGTGTGGGTGAATATGGATGTGTTAGAATAGGTATGTTCATGTAGAGGCTATTGAAGCGGAGTCGAAGCCGCGCAATCGCACTGGCACGAGTTTCTTTCCATTGCACACCAGCCAGACGTAACGACCTCGTTGGGGCGCGACCAAATTGGAAGTTACCAGTTAGCCTATTAAACTTTAATGTTACTTTCAAATTGACAGTTTCGCCATGTTAACCATACGTTGATTTTTTTAAATTATCATGAGTATAATAAAATCGTTTCATAGAGTCGAGATCATATTTATTCTGATTTATATTAAATATCCTTTACGAAGAAATACCTAACATAATTATTTTAAAATTCTTAATCTACCTACAGCTATTTTATGACCTAGAATATAGTATCCAATAGTCCGATAATTTACGATTATGGTTGAAAGTCAACGATAAATTCTTAATTAATCTTTGTATTTACGCATGTTTTCAACGTATTGAAATGCCCATGCCAAATACTATCCATAATCGTATTCAATTTAAATTTTTCTGTACCTGATTATGTACGCTATTAGGGAGAAATAACTTTTTTAATTGGCATTGCTGTTTATTTCAACATTAAATATTATTATTACACTTGCCTTCAATATAAAATATTCAAATATAGGCGCTGGTGTTTTAATAAGTTCCGCGTAAAGTTAATATTATGTTTGAGTTTTATTAGCAGTCACGGCGAGCCAGTCTGAAGGCATTGTTTGCGTTATTCCTCTCGAGATAGCCTTGTGTGTGGTGTGGCGTGCGTGACGTCGTGTGTCTGGGGAGTTGCGCAGTGCGCGCTGCCCACCCGGCTTTCATACACTACGAGCAGCTATCTAGCACATTCCCTCGCGTCATCATACACATCTTGCCGATCACCGGTCATTAGTGTACCAAAGTCACTTGCGCCTTATGATTCTTAAAATATGACTCTAAATTCCGAATCCTTTCCTGCGGATAATACTTTCCGGAACTGCGATGCACGTCTGCGCAATGAAATTTCGAGGGCGATCTTGGCGCGGTGCCAGCTACTTCATTTCATGCGATCCTGGTAGCGGTGCCCGCTGTGTCAAGGCACGCGCCATCTTCTCTATGCCGCAGCATGAGCATACGGGAATCGAAAGAGACAGCGATTGGATTGCGACGTAGAGTGGCGCTTTACATAGCTCTACTGACGCCGAGGCAACGGCGAACATCCAAAGGGCAAATCGTGTGTGGTTGGATCGGCGCCCGGCACAGGAATTGCACTGTACATAATCACTGTATTAAATGTTGGCATAGAAAATTCAACAATGATTTTAGGTGTCGATAAAAAGCCTTAGGGACTATAATAAAAATATTAGTCTTATGCGGTTTTTTATAAAATAGTTAAAGTGAAAGTTTAACAGTTTTAGTTTTGTCGACTAGCAAAATTCACTATATGTAGAGTTCATTAATTCTATAGTATTATGAACATTATATATTTACCATTACCTATTTTTAGTTTCTCATTGTCTACTTGTGTATTTTAAGTAGTCAAAGATTCATTTCATGAATTGTTATTAGTAGCATAGTACTAAAGTCGGCTTTAGTAATGTTTAAATGTTTATCTGTACTTATAAACAATGCCGAACATTTTTACTCGTAGCAATTACAACAAAATTCAAAGTAAAATATCGGTCATCAACCCATCCAAGTTCAATTTGTGTGAGATCAATGCGTCTGATATCGAATGCCTTTGATATCGCGCTATGTTATGTCATTATTTATTCTAAATGTAGCCAAAAAGTATAAACAATCCCACGACGACAATGCTATGCGGCAACAGAGAACAGTCAACAGCCGCTTATAAAAACCAACACAATGCCGCCAAACCAAACATTCCACTTTATAATTTCCTCCACTTTATTTTTTTATCAGCCTGACACGGCTCCGATAGGTTCTTAAAGCATTCACAAACCATACAAATAAAGAATGTCAACCACGCCAAAATGATCCTTAAGCATCGTCTATATCAGGGCAACATAAATTTATAAAATCCATCAGAAATTCCTCACGTGCTTCAGAAAATGCTTCCATTTTCGTAGCGATACCGCGGCTATAACGAAGGGGATCATTAAAACATATCAAGTATCGGAATAGTGTTGTAGAAAGAACCTTATCTCGAGAGGGCACGGCGCTATTTTGTATGCGGGCGGAGTTGAAGAAGGCCGTTTGCCTCGTTTATACGGATGAGGGTCGTCGATAGAGGGAAAGGGACGGCGATATACGATAGGCATGGAGGAACGCGAAGTCGGCTCTTTGTAGTTTATGTTTACCTGGTATCCGAGATCGCTTGCGTGTCGGTCGAGGTGGCGCGGTGCTCGGCGGCGCTGCTTGGCCCGCACCACCCGCCTCTGCCTCCCGAGGTAACAAGTTTCTTAGCTATAATAGCGAAGAGCAATCACGTATCCCTTACACCATCTTTTGATGTAATCCCGACAATTAAATTACCACTACTTTTACACATTCCGCGTGTTTAAATAAAATGTTTTAGGGTAGTTCTGAGTTTTTAATAAATGTCTTTAACAAATACAGAAATAATATTTATTCCAGAACATTATGAAAATAAAAAGTAAGGCTCTTTTCCAATTCAACCAGATAGAACCAATAAAATTACTTAAAATATTTGCAGAAATTACATCCATGATGAAATCAAAAGAAAATTTTAAATTAGTCTCTACCACAATGAACGTTTCATTTAATGTGAAAATAATTTAATTTATACAAAAACCATAGCTTTCATTTAACGGAACAATTAGCAAGTAAGTATTTTTTTATTTTTGTAAATAAATCAGATAATCTATTCTACCAGAGTTGGCATATAAATATGTATGTACATTGGTCAAATATTTATTATAAACAACAACTGTCAAACAAGCATTATCAAATAGTTATAATAAATAAAACAAAATAACGTCAAAATAATAAAACTAGTTCATATATAATAAAGGATAATAAAGCGTCAAAGAATTTTGTTATGAAATAAATATTTTTTATTATGTACTTATTAAAATTAATTAATTTCATTCTCAGGCAAATCAATATAAATGTTTGGCGCGCCGCGACATCGGCAACTTCACTAAATAAGTGGACTGCTTTATTCAGTAAGTATATAGTATAATACATAGTATAAAAAAATTACGTGGGTTCTTAAACATTTTTGGATATTTCACCTCAATGTTTTTTAGAATATGAAATACTGAATCAATACCTTCAGGCATTTCCCTATAACATTACTCATACCATATTTTAAAAGCTACGTATACACATTGTAAGCCCTTAGAGCTTAAACAGAGAGTGCGACTATTTTTATTTAGTGTAGAACAAACATGTTCAATTTGAACCCAAAAACCGAGAATATAAATAGCCTTAATTTTATAGTGTTTTCTTTGTTTGAAACTTTTCTTTGTTTTAGTTGCATAAAATTAGGTTTTAGGATTATTAAATTGTAACCTGTCGAAATACATGTCAAACTGTCATTAATTTCATTCTCACTGTTACAAATTACTATGCAGTCGGCTGCAAATAACATCATGGATGTGCAATTGGCCTTGAAAAGACGTTGATGTATATTAAGAATAGTAATGGTCCTAGAATACTGCCTTGGGGCACTCCATTTAAAACATTAATTTTTTTAAAGATAACATTTAAAGATACATTTAACTTTAGTTAATATAAACGACCGGTATATTATCATTACAGTGAGTATTAATACTAGATGGCGTACCTGAAAAACCATCGAAAAACAAGTACCTACAATTAAACAGACAGATGGGAAATGTCATGCAAGAAAAAGACAAATGACTAGATGATGACATGTGTGTCATTGTCGTCCTTTTAAAGAAACACGTGTGGCTTAATTGCCTTTAAAGTCGTTGATGGCATAATGTATTAGCATTTATGTCTTGTCAAATAACAGTTGTATTAAAACGTGCAACATAGTTAACGTCGACCTTAAAATACCAACCGCATTACGGCGTCTTGGATTTGATAAACAAACCAACGCAACGTTCCGGGCACTTTACAGGTCACATGACCACGGCTGACTTAGATCATAGGACCTGTAAAGAGATCGAAACGTTGATTTATTTGAAAAATCACACTAATCAGATCCTAAAAAAAAAGGTTCATTTCCAATGTGCAGCAATCGCGAAAACCTGAAAAAGCGATAAATCTACATAATCTATAATAATATATATAATCTAGCTAATGATAAGCATAATATAACATATCCGTGTTAGATGTTCATTTAATATCTTAAAATGGTTTAAAGGACAGTTCCAGAGTCAAGCAAAATACTATAGAGCTGATCGGTGTATAAATACCGACCATATGATGATATCCTAAATTGAATGACAAAGAAAGTAATAAAGAGTGACACGGCCAACAACATCTCCGTGATATGGCATGGCGTTTGTAGTAAATTTTATTTTCTCGAGAGATTTCCCCTTTATGCAAGTGACGGGACGAACTAAGAAGTATTTATGCAGT